GAGGAGAGAATAGAACAGGAGCAGAGAATGTGACTGCAGGAAACTCTGAAGAATCCTGGTAATCATGAAAGGAAATAGGTGAGATTGAGAAAACGTGAAGTTGTGGCATTGGTGCTTGCTTTCTTCTATTTTTTATTTTTTTATAATCACTTCAGTGTGATTATAGTCTAAAGGATATAATCTACTTTAGGGAAAACAAGGAATGAGATTGGATAGAATTAGGAACTATAGAGGAAAAACCTTGGGCTGAAGAAGGAGCATCTCTTACTCTGAGGCAAAACAAGACATGCCTTGTGAGTTCATGCAGTATATGGCACTGATAGGCCAGGTAATTTTGATGCTCATAGATGACACTGTCATGCCCAGACATGGGAGTTCATTGGACAGGTGGACCAGAGTCACAGACCCAGGTCCAGAATTTTGGGAAACAGATGCAAAAGTGGGAAATGATGACACTTACAAGGAAGAAATAGAAAGTGTTAATTCTTACTTTGGGACCTGAAAAAGGCATTTTGTGACCTAGCAGGAGGAAAGGATAGGTATGGAGGGGAGGCAGTGTATTGTGTTGTGATAAGGACTTGGGACTTGGAGTCAGATAAAAATGAATTCGTATCTCAGCTGAGGTCCTTATTAAGTGCATTGAGCTTATGTAAGGCACTTAACCACTCCCTGCTTGAGTTTTCTTCACATGTCAGTTAAAGGCAATGGTATTAACTTCACAAATTTGTTGTAAGGAATAAATGAGAAGTCGATATAAAGCTTTCAGAGGGCAAGACATATAGAAATTTATTAAAGTTTCTGTTCATTTGCATTACACAGACTAACTATGAAAGAGGGAAGAATGGCGAATGTTCTAGCACCACAGCTCTATGATCTCTCTGAATTATGAGTAAGCCGTTTGGTGGGCTTGAAAAAGGTAAAGCTTTGGGAGAGAGGTACCATGAGGAAGAGTAGAAACTGACTAGGAGCGCATAAAAACTTTGCAAAGTATTCATGACATTGGTCTTGGTAATGATTTCATGGATACGTTGTGTCCTTATCACAGTAACAATAGTATTGCTAAGTAGAGTCAAAAGCCCAGCTGAAGTAGGTGGCCATTATTTGTAATGTTACTACATTGAGTAGTCAAGTTATTTCTCTAGAATTGAGGAATATGAGGAAGATTGTAGAAGAAGAAAAAGTGGATGAGAGAGTGGAGTGGATCATCGAATGAGGGAGGGAGAGAGAGAAAGAAAGAGAGAGAGAGAGAGGCTGAATTGACTGCAGAATCAGAGGCACAGGTCTGGACATGAAAGGAAGTGAAATCAAGGACTTGAGAGGCTGGGGCAACACACAAAGGTGTGCAGATTTCAATAACCTCGAAAATCAAACATAACAAGGTGGGAGTAAGGCAGATTCAGAAAATGGGATTTGTTAGGCAGAAAGCACAATGAAGATTGCTAATGTGGAGAGGAGGTAAAGCAGTGAGCTCATGAAGAATGTAAGAGACGGGTCAAAGTCACATGAATGAGCACTAGGAGGTGATTAAGTGTAATGGGCAGTGTTCGGACTGAGATAAACCCAAGCCAGGTGCCAAAGCCATCGGATTTAGCATATGACGCTGATGAGGACAGCTAGAAGCTGGCAGAACTAGATGGTAAGCACACTGGCAAAGCTTAGATTGCTTTTTACCCATAAGTCTCCTCTAGCTCTCTCTCTTTCTATAGAGAGAGTCTATAGGTAATTATACAGAGTCTGAGGCTAGGATACGATTCTTAAAGGAAGAGTCAAGATATAGGCCAACACAGTAGCTAACACACTCACACTTAGTATATATACAGTAAGTGTTTATTGCATGATTCTGTGAAATCCTATGTTCAGTCCACATATGAGTCCATTAAACTGTTTAGATTTTGCCAAATCACAAAGCAAAGACTGCTTAACCATTAGACCAGATACAAATCTTGCTTGTTATAAAGTTAGGAATTTTAAGATGCCCAAACCTTCCTTCCAAAGCACAAATGTTAGTTGCATTTTGGTATTTTCCTTCATGCACAAATTTAGCAAATATTCATTGAACAACAACTATGTACCAGCACTGTTCCATACATTGGAAAAATAGTGGAGGAAAAGGCAAACAAGGTCCCAGCTCAGGGAGTTAAATTCCAGTGGGAGAAAAACAGTCAGCATATAAAACTATATATATATATATATATATATATATATATAAATTTCGGTTAGGAGGAAGGCTGTGGTGAAATTAAAATAAATAGGTAGAGAGTAATCAGAAGTCCTGGAATGCCATGATTTTATATAAGACAGTCAGAGAGAAGACCTCTGACAAGGTGACATTCAGCTGAGACATGATGGAGAAGAAGGAGTCAGCCATGTGAAGATTGGGAGGTATTCCAGGTAAACAGGTGGTGTAAAGGCCCAATGGGAAGATCAAGTTCAACAGAGAAGGACAGAAACAAGATCAATATGTCTGCACTAGTCTAATAAGAAAAGCATATCTTTTCCCAAAATGTTTCATGTTTTAGCATGAATATGATCATAGTGTATATTCAATTTTTAAGGACTACATAGTGGTTAAAAACAGACTCTGGAGGGGCACTGCTAGCATTTAAATCCTGGCACCTCCTTTTCTACCTATGTTACCTTGGGAAAGCTCACGTAACCATTCTGGCATATTCTCTTACCTGTAACATGGTAATAATAATAATACCTACTGGGCTTCCGTGGTAGCGCAGTGGTTAAGAATCCACCTGCCAGTGCAGGGGACGTGGGTTTGAGCCCTGGTCCAGGAAGATCCCACATGCAGCGGGGCAACTAAGCCCGTGCGCCACAACTACTGAGCCTGTGCTCTAAAGCCTGTGAGCCACAATTACTGAGCCCACATGCCACAACTACTGAAGCCCATGCCCCTAGAGCCTGTGCTCCGCAACAAGAGAAGCCACTGCCATGAGAAGCCCACACACCGCAACAAAGAATAGCCCCTGCTCACCACAACTAGAGAAAGCCCACACACAGCAACAAAGACCCAGCGCAGCCAAAAATAAATAAATAAATTTATTTAAAAAAATAATAATACCTACTTCATACAGGTATTATAAGAATTAAAAGAATTGATAGCCATAAAACACATAAGAAGTGTTTGGCCCATAAAAAGTGCTTCTTATATAAAATCATATTCCATCTTTTTTTCCTGACTGCATTACGTGGGAGAGATAATCTTTTTTGTTATATATGTTTATTGGTTCTGAGTGTCCCATAATTCAATTAACTGTAGAAGCAGGTTTTTCTTAATTTTTCTATGTCATAAATCACTCAACAATGAACATTATTATTGTGCCTTGAGATTTTCCACAGCCGTGATGACCTGGGTGGCAGATTATGGGAAAACAGTAAAAATATTTCAGTATCTGAAGCATCCATAAGAGCCATGCTCATCTTGATAAGTTTTTCCTGAGATTACTACCAAATAACCAAGGAAAGCTATGCTATCAATTGCCATCTTGCCAGCCGAATTTATCCTGAAGGAAAGTTATGCTTGGCCTGTATAATGTTTCCAAAAAAATTTTTATTGAGTTGCCAAAAATCAAAAAATCTCACAATTTACTATTAAAAAAACCCATATTTCTGGCTTCTTCTGAAAAATAATTTATTTCTTTTAAACCGATAGAACATAGTGGCTCTGAGGCAACAATTGTGGACAGATTTCTTATAAAATTTTTGCCATTTTTCCATAATTTTATGCTTTAACCTAAAGTTCATACTCTTAACATTGTCTAAATATATTATAAGCTTTTTACACTAAAATTTTAAAGTATTCTATTGAAAATGGCTTGAGGAAACTGAATTTCTCTATAGGAAAACCTAGAGTAGCTCAGAACATATGAAAATAGTTGGAGTCTTTGAAATGTGGCTTAACTTTCTTTAAAAATAGTAAAAAAATCTCCCAAGCAGGTAAGTTTTTGTTTAATGTTTGGAGTTTTGCAAATTTAAAGTTATGTAAGTGTGATTCACTTGAACTAAATAAAAATATGAAGAGGCAAATACAGAGGATATTCCTATTAACTGATTATTATGAATTACTGAAGTAAAAACAGCTTTTCACTAACATACACATTGTATTGTGTGAAAGGAGGCACACACCATAATCTATTTGATCTAAATTAAATTTACTAAATACAAATACACATTATACTTATGTGTATAGACTTAAAGTCTGAAAAATGAATTTCTAAAAGGCATACAGCTGGCACTTAATATTTATTAAATTTGTTTTTTCTTTTTTTCAGCTCTGTTGAGATATAATTGACAATTAATAATGTGTAAGTTTAAGGCATGAAATGTGGTGATTTGATATACAGATATACTGTGAAATGATTACCACACTAAGGTTAGTTAGTAACATTCATCACCTCACATAGTTACCTTTTTGTGTGGTTCTAACATATAAGATCTACTCTCTTAGCAATTTTCAAGTATACAGTAAAGTGTTAACTATAGTCACCATGCTGTATATTCGATCCCCAGAACTTATTCATCTTAAAACTGAAAGTCTGTACCCTTTGACAAATATCTTCCAATTACCCCAGTGCCTGGTAACCTGCCTGTTTCTATGAATTATACTTTAGATTCCACATAAAAGTGAAATCATGCAGAATTTGTCTCCTGTCTAACTTACGTGTGTGTGTATATATATATATATATATATATATATATATATATACACACACACACACACACATAATATAAAACATTATATTATATAAAACATTTTGTTTATCCATTCATCCATTGATGGATTGATGGACACAGGTCATTACCATGTTTTGGCTATTGTACATAATGCTGCAATGAACATGACGGTGAGGATATCTATTTGAAACTGGAAAAAAGATAAGAAAGTCTTTATACCATAAATATATAGCTGCTAAGTCAATAAAGCTTTATTTTTTCTGACATGCATCTCCAGTGTTGTATGCTTTTTATTCTTATTGCATTTTCATTTGCAGAAAACTGGGCACAAACCAGAAAGTGTGGATTTGTGTGGGGCATATATCGAATGGGCCAAAGAAAAATCAAGCAGAAAGAATGTCTTTCAGGTAAGAATGCTACATAGATTCAAATTATTCCTATTCCTTCTAAATCTGAGCTCTCTTGGGTAATCAAAACAAGACTACCTTGTTACGATGTTTTCATGTGCATGAACTAGTTGTGTAGAGGTCATTGTGAAAAACCTGGCTTCTCTTCCTTGTTGAATTTTGGTTGTTTTGTTGTTTTTCCCTGGTGACTGCTTGCTATCTAAACACAAAATATATGTTGTGTGGTGATTAATTATATACCCGAAAGTCATTGAATTTTGCAGTGTGTTTGATAGCTGTTTGTGGTTCAAACCTAGAATGCTTGGCTTAAATAGATTTAATGTAGGACTTTCAGATGTAAACAAAGTAAGATTTGCTAATTATGATAAACTATTTGCATTCATTGCCATTCCTGCTTTCCAGTCATAAATTATATTTACCAGTGTAACTTGGGGGATGGAGAGAGCTGAACAGTTATAAAAATTGGATTTTTCATATTGTATAATTTAATTTTTTGGAAAAAAATAACTGTGATTAATAATTTCAATCATGTTCCTTTGAATGGAAAGCACCAGATGAAATCCTTGAAAGAAAGGAAATGGGAAAACTTAATATTTCACATATGATGTTACTGAAATCCCTTTGGCAATTAATAACTTCAGATTATGGAAGTTGATCTTTTTCTGTATTTACATGACATTTAATTTACTTTTATATCTCCAAAGTAACCAATAACTTTATAGTATATTTTAGAATTTATATCATTTAGTAGGAACTAGATTATCATAATTATTGTATCAAATGTCTTCTGAGACCATTTTAGCCCTTGAAGAAAAGTCAATTCTGTTCTTAAATGTATCACTAAAATTGATGTATTCAGTCTTATAGAAGTATAGGTAGGTGACATTTCTTATCTGAACTCTCACTGGGACGAAAAAACTGATTTTCAGTTTGTTTTTGCATTTTCCAAATGCTCAATGAGTTCTAGCCAAATAATTTGGACTTATGTTAATTAAAAAAACAAAACAAAACAACATGAAAAAACACTTTTAACATATTATGGAATAACTTATTTTTCTGATTATAGTTGAATTCTATTTAGGTATTCATTTTTATATGGTAGAGGTTTTTTTGTTTTTCTTTTTCTTTTTAACCAAAAATGAGGAAGAAAGAAAGAAAGGAAGGAAAGAAGAAAACCAAAAAAAAGAAATAAAGAAAACTAAACATACTTGCCAAGAAATCAAAGGACTAAAGCCCAAAGTGATTAGAAGGTGAACTTACAGAATCAAGAAGTAAAATTAAATTTTTTTTTAAAGTGAGGAATTGTAGATCAGTGACATACTCTGTCTCCCAATCTCTTGCTTTTTTTTTTTTTTTATTCTGCTATAAATAAGAAAAATTAGGGGCTATAATCCTAGCCTCTGTGACAACCTAGATAATCAGTATGGCTAGTTCTGAACAGGGTAGGGTGAGCTAAGTGGTTTAGTTTTATTATGTATTGTGAGTTTAGCAACCTAATCATCAATGTTATAAAATAAAGACATTATAAAAAACAAAACAAAACAAAGATAAAGACATTAAAATTTGACACTGACATAATTCTTGAATAGTAGAAACCCTCGGAGTTGAACTAAGGAAGACTTTTTTCAGTTCCTTCTGTTAACCTTATGAAGAGTTAAGTTAGATCACAAATGAGGATGATAATCAAATATATATGATGTGTACAGGGCTGCGAATATGGAAGAAAATATTTAAGTATAATTTTACATAGCTGTGAATATAATATTCATAGATGTATATTTAAACCAATACATTGATAATATGTTATCATCCTAACCTTTTCGGGGTGTGACTGCCTCTGTTATAATATTTTACTCATTTTTCTTATTTCTTAATGTAGGTACTTCCAAAGATATTAAAACTATTCTCACTTTTGGTAGCTTTTTGGAGGTGAAAATCTTGCCAGTTAGCTTTGTTTGTAAGATACCTGAGCAGTTCATGGGACTTCAGTTTTCTTACATCCAGTTTATCTTTTTTTGTCTTGTACCCTTTAGTTTAGAGAAACAAGAGGTGATGATAAGGATGTTGCAAATAATAAAACTAAAGAAAGATTCAGGTTTAATTTCCTGCTTCATTCTTTTTGGGGTGAATCATGTGGTTTTCTTGTCATGCTGAAATCTTTTCATCATCTAAACATATGAGCTTAGGTAAAATTGACTAATACGTATCCATAGTGAAAGTAAGCGTTTCAAGAGGAACAATATAGATAGCTTTTATAGTTCTGTTAACAAAAAAGCATCGGGAAGGATTTGTCAGAGAGCTAGCTCTAGATGACTTGCATCAATATTTGATTAGGTACATTAGCTGGAATAACTCTCAAATGATCAGAATAAACATGATTATATCTCAAAAACATGGTATTAAGGCATTGTTGGGTATCTGAGTGTGTGTGTTCAAGGGTTTCATTACCTACAGGATAATGAAGTATTTCTTCCTCAGTGAAAAAGACCATCACAGTTTTAGCCGATATGCTACATCAGAAATAGCTTTAGAATACCAAGTTTGAATTAGGCATGGTGTTCAATCTCAGTCTATGAATTATAGATTACAGATAGCAAACGACTATTGAGATTTTTGGTTCAAGAAAAATCAAGGAAAAGCAAAATTAGAAATAATTTAAAATTTGAAATCTGTCTTTAAAAAGTTGATGGATTAGCAGTTATATGCCACATAATTACAATGTCTCTAGAGAAGTTGAACTTAAAATGAAGAGGAAAACAAACAAACATGTGCCTGAGATATGCTTGAAAGACTCAGAAGCAAACATTTATGACACAAAAAAATGGAAGGATTTCATTTGTTTCCTTTGTATATGTCATTTGGACATTTGAGTTCATTTTCTTTTTGCATTAAAAGTCAAATTTTCTTTATAGTCAAAGTCTTATTAAACTCTTGATGTAGATTCAATCTTATTTGATTGGTACATAGTAACATAACTGTGCCAGCATTAATTAATTAGGTTTTGTATTCAACTATTCTCAGTAATTCAGAATGATGCTCACTGGCTGAGTTCAAGAACATCTACCTATTTTAGAGCAGTTTTTGACATAAGTAGCTTTAATAATAAATCATATATTAAAGATATTTAGCAACTTCTATAATATATATATGTAAAGTAGACATAGACAAGTCATAATATGTGTTTAAAGTATAAATGTACATACATGTATGCATATATGATGTATGTGTCAACGTATATACCCACATGTAATAGCTTGACGTTAAGAAATAGAATGGTCCTTTCCACACACATACGCTACCAGCACTGAAAGACATATTGTATTTATTATAAAGGTCATACACACTCTAAGTTAAACTAGTAAATGTTCATTGCTGCTAACTTTTGTTCAATTCTGCATTTAGCATAATTGTCAAGGACCATCACAAGTTTGATGTAGCTTGAGAAAGCATTTAGCAACCGAGTAAATTGTAATGAAATGTGGTACGAGTTTTCTTAGTTAAGAGCAACCCTAGGTCTTCATCAGGGAAAGAGTGAATAAAAAGATTTATGTACAAATCACATGTTTTAAGCATTTCTGCTAAGTGCTAGTTTGCTCTTTGGTGTTTAGCCTGAAATTTAAAGCACTGAGGATTAAAAGGATTACAACATAATCTTAAATAATCCTAAATGTCATTTACAGAGAGATACTTGTAATAACTAAATAAAACCATGTGAAGGGATGGCAGTATTGTCAGGCAGCATCTGTAACATAAGCAGTGCTTCTGTCACCTTCTCTTTCCTCATGGATACGTCAGGCATTTACAAAGCTTTTCAATAGAAGTCCAGTTGAGAAAATGGTTGTAAAATAATTTATAACAATCAGTAATTTTTAAACATCTACTATCTTTTTGTTTCAAAGTTGAAGGAAAAGTTTCACTCAGGTTTCCTTCCTTCCTTTGAACATAAGGCTCTCTGAGCTAAACATTTTTGAAAGTCTGGGGAAAAGGAGTTCATGATATGGCTATCAAATAAATAGATGACACACCTCTAAAACATTCCCAGCCTCCAAGAAGCTGCCCTCTTATTAAATATATGATGGTCCCAAGCACTGTAATTAATTCCATGCCTTTTAATTTAGCACTAAAATATTCTTTACTCCTGTCATGTAAATTAGTTTTGCCTCCTCAAAGAATATACGAAGATAGAGACTATATCCCATACTGCATTTTTAAACCAGAAGACTGGAAACCTTTTAACCAATTCAGTGGTTACTGCTAAGGCTAAAATTGCATTGTTTCAGTTAAAAAAAAAAAAAAGAAAAGAAATTCATTGTCATAAAAAAATTTTAAGAAATTGTGTCCACAATATAGGCTCTATATTCCAAGATGATTTCTGGAGTGTCATCTCTAGTCACTTTTTAAAATGGGGGTTAAGAATAAGAAAAATACTATCTGTTTTCTTGGTCATTTTCATTACAACAGTAGTTGATTACTCATTTGAAATAATTAAACCTTTTCTCAGAGCCAGACGGTGACTAGGCCTCAGTTTTTCTGAGTTTCCTTTCAAATAAAATTTTCAAAAAATTTTACCCGTGAACATGCAGCAGGCTCATCTACAGATTACATGATTTAAATAAGATAATTCTACTATTAATGAATTATGGTTGATTAGAACTGTATCAATTGCCTGCCTTAAAGGCAGAAAAAAATTAAATGACTCAAGAAGATGAAAGTCAATTTTTTTTCCTCTCACCACCAATTTATAACCTCAACAAAAACCATGGCCAAATTTCTTGGATTTGAGATTCTTTTTTTTTTTTTTTTTGCATTACATGGGCTCATTTTTAACGTATAAAAATATCTCAAGGAAGCCAATTCTGTCCCTAAAAGTAAATCTCGGAATAGATTTATCATTAGTTGTATTTCTTTTCTGACTTTGGATGGAGTCTTCTGACTATAATGTATATTAAACATATTCATGTAATATTTTCCATGGATATGCTTTACATTTAAACATAATT